GAATAAGATTGTATGCCTTCTGCCTTATCAAATAAATAAACAATGCTTGGAAATGTGAGGAAATCTGTAACAAACCAAAAAAGTCTCATTCTTGGGATGCATGACACGGCCCCTGCATGTAGAGGAACAAGCAGGGTTAGAAATCAGAAATTTCTAAGTTGCTTAACAATGAGTTATTTAAACTACATGAAAGACAATGTTAAGTCTGAATACCTTGGAATTTCTGAATAAAAACACAGAATGAGGTAAAGCACAGAGAGAAAGGGGGGGGGGGGGAAGGATGCCAGATCTTCACTCCCTGAAATTAATGTTCTTTCTCTGTACTGAGTTCATTAAGCATCTTTCAGTAACATCACCCTTCTAAAAATTAGGAAACCAGAGTTCCACAATATAAAGTTTACAACTTCAAGCTTCTCTTTTCTCCCATAAAAAGAGACTTGGTAGGCAACTTTCAGCATAACAAAACAAACTGAACGTGAATTATGATGTATTTTTATTGTACACTGTAATTGCCATAATATATTTGCAACACCAGATTTTTTTAATAATTATCACAGAATCACAGAATCACCCGAGTTGGAAGGGACCTCAAGGATCATGTAGTTCCAATCCCCCTGCCTAGCAGGGCCACCAAACATACACATTCAGATCAGGTTGCCCAGGACCCCGTTCAACCTGGCCTTAAACACGTCCAAGGACGGGGCATCCACAACCTCCCTGGGCAGCCCGTTCCAGGGCCTAACCACTCTCCTAGTAAAGAACTTCCCCCTAACATCCAACCTAAATCTTCCCTCCTTCAACTTGGATCCATTTCCCCTAGTCCTGCTGTTGTCAGCCCTTTTGAAGAGTTTACTCCCCTCCTGGGTGTAGGTTCCCTTCAGGTATTGATAGGCTGCAATGAGGTCACCCCGCAGCCTTCTCTTCTCCAGGCTGAACAAGCCCAACTCCCTCAGCCTGTCCTCATAGGGGAGGTGCTCCAGCCCCCTGATCATCTTAGTCGCCCTCCTCTGGACCCTTTCCAAAATCTCTATGTCTTTCTTGTACTGAGGGCTCCACACCTGGACACAGTACTCCAGATGGGGCCTCACAAGAGCCGAGTAGAGAGGGACAATCACCTCCCTGTCCCTGCTGACCACCCCTCTCCTGATGGAGCCCAGGATCCCATTTGCCTTTCGAGCTGCCAGAGCGCACTGCTGGCTCATATTCAGTCTCTCGTCCATCAGGACCCCCAGGTCCTTCTCTGCCGAGCTGCTCTCAAGGACCACTCCTCCCAGCCTGTACAGGTGCCTGGGGTTCTTCCGGCCCAAATGCAAAACCTTGCACTTTGCCGTGTTGAACCTCATTAGGTTCACCCGAGCCCAGCCCTCCAGCCTGTCGAGGTCCCTCTGAAATTCTTAAGCTAAATATATTAAATAAAAAATTAAAATAACCTAGCAGTTTAAGCAGAGTCTGCAATGCACATTCTTTGCTGGAATATAAAATTACACAGAGATAAAAAGAACATGAAATGCAGTATGTCTCAAATCAGTCAATCACTCTGAGGAGTAGCTAAAAGGTTCAAATATAACAGGCATGCCTCGATTTTCCAGGCAGCATAATATCATACACCTCCATTTTTATGCTGCAATTTCAACCAAGAATCAGTTGTTAAACACAAGTGGCAAAGACAAAAACAGATAAATTTGTCAGTTTTCATCACATCATTCTTGAATTACTTTAAAAATAAATTTGAGAGGTTTCTAGCATATCATTAAAAAATGACAGCATACCGCAAAATCTAAACTACTAACTTAAAACTGCAAAAGCAAGACAAGTACAGAATTGTAGATCATAGGGGTTGGAAGGGACCTCTGAAGATCATGGAATTCAAACACCCTGCCAAGGGCAGGTTCCCTACAGTAGGTTACACAGCAAAGCATCCAGGTGGGTTCTGAACATCTCCAGAGAAGGAGACTCCACAGCCTCTCTGGGCAGCCTGTCCCAGCACTCTGTTGCTCTCACAAAAAAGGAAGCCCTTTTTCATGCTCACATGGAACTTCCTGGGTTGTGGTTTGTGCCCTCTGCCCTTTGTACTACCACCGGGCACCACCAAAAAGAGCCTGGCATCATTCACTTGGCTCTTGCCCATGAGATTTTCATACACACTGACAAGATCCCTGCTCAGACTTTTCCATGCTGATAACATACAGCCTTCCTCATAAGGGAGATACAACAGGCCCCTAATCATCCTCATAACCCTCCTCTGGACTTTTTCTAGAAGATTCCTGTCTTTCTTCTGTATCTCCTGCTTCGAGAGTGCCAGTTGGTGAGTAGAGAGGGAATCTTAAGGCTGTGCATTTTAGGTCTAGGTCATTAAACATAATTAGGCATGTAACATACAAATCACTGTGACCTAAGCACTGAAACAGATGTTAGCTGTCTAAATTAGAGGACCTGAGCTTTGGTTTGTTATTATACAAGTTTATACATTCAGTTTTGAATTCATCTGTAGTTACATAACTAACGTTAATGTATACCGTGATTTGCTGTGATAACATATCAATCAGTTAATAACAGCATACTGCATTCAACAAAGAACCCAGAAATTAGACAAGATTACATTGTACACATCAGCACTATTTAGATTTATGTTTCCTAGAGTCACAGCCTCATCCAGCAGAGCAAGAGACCAAAGCATTATTTTTTAATCATTTTAGCTCTGCACGTAATAGATATAAGCAGCTCTCAACAGAGCAAATGAATACTAATATGACACACCTTTCAGTACATCTAGCCAGTGGCACATAAAAATACAATTATCCAAGAGAAAGATGCTTATTAACCAGTTATGTTGAGCTACTACTTTCCCACAGCAGAGGAGGATGCACTGATTGAAAGTAGAAGATGAATCTTCACACTGAAGCACACATTCCAACTGTCCAAACTCATTTTTGTTCAATGTACTGTAAGTCATCAAAAAATTGAATTTGGAACTGCCTATATTTCAACAATAACTTAAATGTTTATTCCTACAGTCCTCACTAAACAAGCTTCAAACTCCTTTAGGAATCCGTTCACTTTTGCTACTATAGACACTGCATAGCCTAACTTGATTTCTAAACTGGACTGTCATTTTGTAACTAGGCCTGTAATTTTGATTCAAAAGCTACTACAGATCACCAACAATTGATTCTTAGCTCTTGAACTTCTCCTTCGTATATATGTTTGTATATGTGGTAACAAACTCCTACTTAAAGCTCTCCCCTCTTCTCTCTCTCTGCCTGTCCATCCCCTAGGTCTTAACAGCAGCTACCTAACACACATCTCACCTTTTTATAGCCATCAACTGAGCTACTATGTTTTCTATCGTATAAAGAATATATTTTTTCTTGAACGTAGTAGTTGCAGAATGCACTCAAGCATAAGGAAAACTTTTGCGTGTTGTTTGAGCATCTGTGTGAGAAAAATGAAAATCTGAACATCCATGAAAGTAGAAGAAAATTACTAAAACCATCCAACAAAAGCACGGGGAGGTAATACAGAAAAAAAAATTGAATATTTCTGCTGACCAGTGTGTTGGTGGGCTCCATGACAAGCCCATGGCTGGTAAGAGCACAGCATGCTACACGAGGGCATGACAGTTCCACTGGTGCCAGCAGCAGCATCAGCAACAGGCTCAATACCAACATGGTTTGGAACTGTGGGCAGCACCACAGGCAGCCCGGAGAGAGGCCCAGAACTTCAGTTTGAGAAATGCGAACTCAGGTAAGCAAAGTCGATACTGTGGCTTGTCAAGATTTTTGTCACCCTACAATTTATAAACTATCTAACTTTTCACACTGTGAACTGTAACAGAGGGGTGGAAGTGCGAGATGCACAAGTGGAACTTTTTTTTAACAATGCATCATCCCTGATCCTGGATCGACTCAGAAGATGCCCACCTGCATGGTCTAAAACCTGCCATGTTCACAGAATCACAAAGGTTGCAAGTGATCATTTAGCCTGCCAACCCATCCCCACCATGCCTACTAACTGTGTCCCTCAGACCCAAATCTACATGTTTCTTGAACACCTCCAGGGAGCGTGACTCCACCACCTCCCTGGAGAGCCTGTTCCAGCATCTGACCACTCCCGAGAAAAAAAAAAAAAAAAGATTACAGTAGTCAGTTTGAATCTCTCCCAGTGCAGCTCGAGGCCATTACCTCACATCCTATCACTGTTACCTGGGAGAAGAGATTGACCCCTACCCTGCCACTACTTTCATGTAGTTGTAAAGAGCAATAAGGTTTACCCTGAGCCTCCCCCAGACTAAACAACCCCAGTCCCCTCAGCCGCTCCCCAAAAGGCTTGTGCTCAAGACCCCTCACAGCTTCACTGTCCTTCTCTGGAAACATTCCAGGGCCTTGTTGTCTTTCTTGTAGTGAGGGGCCCAAAACTGAACACAGCACTTGAGGTACAGCCTCACCAGTGCTGAGTACAGGCACGTGATCACCTCTCTGCTCCTGCTGGCAGCACTGTTTCTGATACAGACCAGGCTGCCATTGGCCTTCTCGGCCACCTGGGCACACTGCTGGCTCATGCTCAGTCGGCTGTCAACCAACACCCCAGAGCTTTTTCGTCTGTGCACCTTTCCAGCCACTCTGATGCTACCCAAGCCTGTAGCATCGCCTGGGGTTGCTGTGACCGCCGTGCAGGACGCGGTACTTGGTCCTGTTGAAACTCATATAGTTGGCTTCATCTCATCGATCTAGCCTATCCAGAATCCTCTATAGGGTCTTCGTACCCTTGGGCAAACGAAAAATACTGCAGTACTGACCAAGAGAGGGCCAACACGGTTTGCAGACACTCGGAGACCGGACGCAGGCAGGGTGCAGCGGTGCCGCAGGTGAGCGCGGGGCGAGGCAGATCCCCGCCCGGAGGCACATGGCGGCGACCGCGCCCTGTTCTCCCCCTGGCGGCTGCGGCGCCTGGCAGGGCCGGCCCCACACCACCCCTCCACCCCCCGCGGCGCGGGGCGGTACCTGCCCGGGATGAGGAGGCGCGGTCGGCTCCCCGATCCACAGCTGCTCCTTGAGGAGGTGCTGATAGCTGAGGCAGTGCTTCAGCGCCGACGGCACCGTACCCATAGTCGGGCGGCGGCCGGTGGGCCGCAAGGTCAGCCCGGCTTCCCGGCCCCGCTCCTGCCGCAGCCACTGGCTGCAGCCCGGTCCCGGCAGCGCCTGCGATTGGCGGAAGGCGGGAGCCCGCCGTGCCGGCACCCCCGCCGCCTACAGTTTGCTGCGGCAACCGCGCCTGAGCGCAACCGGCGGCCGCCGCCGCTGCCCCGCTTCTCACCTGCCCCTCCACGCCGTCCCGAGCGCTGCGCAGCCCGGGCGCTGCCTGCCCGCGTCGGGCGGCGGCTTGGCCGGCTCCACAGCTGCCTGCCATTGCGGGAAGCCGTGCAGGGAACTCTGAGGGGACGCGGGGACAACGTTTCTGCCAGGCGGGAGCCACGAACGTGGGACAGCCAACCGCTCTGCCGCAGGGCGACGGCAAGCACACGCGTCCTTGGGGGAGCGGAGTGCAGGCTCTGCTCTGCGCGCTTCCGCGGAAGGCTGGAGGGGAAGGAGAGATGGGCAAGGAAGGACTGACAGCGAGCCGGCCTGGTTGGGGACCCTGGGGCTGTGCCGGTGATTCCAGATAAAACCTTTCCTGGTTGGCAGTTCAGATGGTGGCACATCTTTGACAAAAGTCTTCTGTGCTTGTCAGCGTGTCAGCTTTACAGTTGGGCCGTGGAAACTTAGAGCAAGCGGCACATTGCTCGCCTTTAACAGCTCTCAAAAGCAGCAGGTTATATTTTGTCATCTCCCTTCAGTGCTCATTTCAGTGTCAGCCAATTTTCCAGGCTCCTCAAATGAAATACCTTATGCTTTCTGGATAATTCCTTTTCTGGGGTATCAGCGAGTTCATAATTTCACTCACCTTTCCCTCATTTTCTACAGAAGATTAGCAAGATTACAGCCAAGTCCCTGGTTCAGCCCTTTGCTGATAGGCTTGAGACTCTCAGGGCAGTCTCTTGTATTTCAGGCTTGCTCCTCTGCCTATTGAAACCCTGTAAAACAATGCTGGAACGAGTTGGAAGGGCTGGGAAATGTTTATTTTCTGAGGGTTGTGACAGCTCTTCAGAAATAAAACATTTAAAATACAGTTTTACAGTATGTTATAAAATGCCAGTCTTGGGCATCTCTGCAATTTCAAACCTGCCCACAGGAAAGTGCAGAGGTGATTCTTTGATGGCTGCAATCATACACAATTCATATCCTTTCTCTCTCCTACCAGACAACTATTTGCCTTTAAAATTCTTACATGTTTAAAGCTCAGGATTCCACAAATGACCTGCAACATGCTGACTCTGAGTCCTGCTACCTGTAAAACTGGAAATAAAATACACAAAGGCTGATCATAAAACAAGCCTCATTATTCTGTGTCCCTGTGACAGGCTGTTTATTTCTGATGTGTTGTATGTGAAGAGGAAAATACTGTATTGATGTAAATATTTTTTGTTTTGCATTGTTTATGTTTTCTTAGCAAACTGGAGTACGCTGCAAAACAATTATGTGAGAAAGGTAGAGTATGCCTGTGTATACAGTGTACCTCTTCTGCCTACTTGACCTGGACTCTTCTCCAGTTACTTCAGCACTGAAGTCAAACCTTTAATCATTTTTCTTACAAATACGTCTGAAATTTGTTTCATGATAAGACTCAGTATAAGCCTTTTTCTGTGTCACTCTTATTGCAATCAGAAAAACATTGTGCCAGATTTGAATGCTGTATTTCTGGGGCTCGAAGCTTCCCAGTCCTATTCCATGCTAGGCCCTCTGTCAACATTTTGTAGCACAGATCTGCTTTAAGACTCGGAGTGCCACTAATGAAGGTGAAAAGGAGCATTTTTAATTGAAATCCCAGTAGTGTTGAGCAGAGAAGAAAAGCATAATGATGATACTTGAAAATACAATCCCAAATAAACAGATTTTCATAGTTTGTTGCTTTGTTTGTTCTTTTCTTTTGCCCCTCTCATTCTCCTGAAAACAGATATGTATCTTTTTCATTCTTGGCAATTTAGCACTGAATTTTTCAACTGATGCTTCTAATTATTTGTAAACAGCTTCCTTAAAATCAAAAGACATAATTGCATTTGCGCAATATTCATCTGAAAACTGGCTGGTTCTTAGGATAATGATGATTTATCTACTGAAAAAACACTTTGCTAAAACCTTTAGAGCTACACCAAATTGCTATTCTTAGGCTAGACTCATGGAACAACAGAAAGTAGAAGGAGCTCTGAGTGCACCTTAGGCAGACCTAACCATGCTGATGCTGTCATTTAGTTGCAGGGGTTAAAAAACTTACTTAACTTCACCCTAGTATACGAATTAATTTGAATGTTGTGGTGGTACCACGTGCTGCTTAACCTTATCTAGCCTCAGTGGTACTACCAGCATATTTATTGATGGAAGGTTTTGCAAAATCATGAGAAGAAGAATCAAGACTTATGGCAGATCTGCAGCACACAGTCCTCTTGTGGTCTGAATCTCTACGTGCCCTGTGCTGTTCTTTATCTTGATTCTGCATATTTTTTGTTGTTCAAAAATGGCATTTTGGAGGAATGTCAGTTTACAGGAACACATGGAAGGACTCAGATGTGTTTAGTGGTATGTCAGAACAGTGAACAGAAATTGCACGTGACTGGCTTTAGGCTCTCCATCTGTCTTTTAAAACTATTTATCATTTTGATACTTCTCTGAATCTATCCTTGTCGTTGGCTCACTGTATTCTGGTCAAAGGTTTTAAAACGTTTATTAAAAGGAATGCTTTTCACTGAAATAAATAATCTCATAGAAATCCTGCCACTGAGTGTACCAGATGGTAAGAATCGGCACATTTGGGTAAAATGCAGAGAAACTTCAGCTATTACCATGAGAGATATTTCTGTACTGCTTACTGTTTCCATGCAATTACACAGGTAGTTGGCAGTCAGATCATTAGAAGTGAAAACACTGAACTGTTGGATTTCCTGCAGCGCGACACAAACCCTTGGCCAAGAGAGGCACAGTAAAAATAAGTCGGTCATTTACAAGCATCTAAAATAAAATAAGAAAGTTGTTTAAAGAGTGATTTGATGACAGCGAGAAGGACAGAATCAGAAGCAAGGGAGCTATTCATACCGCTGATAATCATTAAGTGCCAAACTGGCAAGCAGCCAAGGTGCCTACTAGGCAGGGATCAAAGACACATATGGTGAGTCTCAAACAACAAATAAGCCATAGAATTCTGGCAAGCATTGCAGGAATAATATGCTCCAGCCTTGTCAGAGAGGATGGGGGCTAAAGAAAAAACAACTGCGCTACCAATAGTGGATGATACCTTAGGGAAAGCAAAGCTTTCATCATTTCAGTTTTATTGGAGAAAAATGCAGATAACTTCTCACATATGGTAGGTCTGGTTGATCTAAATTGATGGGAAGTGTAACACAATGTTAAAAAAGATTCTTTACAGTTGTGGCAGTAAATCAGTGTTCCATTAGCAACGGCATCATTCAGAGACAGCATTCTTCAGAGAGGTAGTAATAGATTTACTTTGCCAAAGAAAGACTGCACCCCAGGTGATAGACACCTGGCATTTGAAACAGTCATAATCAGGAAGAAAGTCCAAGTTGCATCTTGCCAGGTGTTGGATCCTGTTCTTGTCTATTCTTTCCCTAATTCAATCAGATAGCAGTGTTTTAGCCAACTAGATCACAGCGTAGAACACATAAAGAAAAAAAAAAAAAATTAATTATAGTGCTACTAAGCAGTATTAAGTAAAACATAAGAAAATTCTGTGAGCTTAGAGCTTGTTTCTTGTTTCTTGTTGTAATCATGAAAGTTATTCACTGATGCACAGAGTCTGAAAAGAAAGCTATGCTATATATATAAAGGACACTGCCTCTTACAGTGTTGAGAATGGTACTCTGAACCTCTCAAGTGCCAGCACTACACAGCTAAATGTAATCATTGTGAGGCTTATCACAGGCAAAAAAGTATTGCAGCAGAAAGGGTTTATTTATGGGTTACATTTTCCATTTTCCATAAATAGTGAACAAATATGTCTCTTGTCTGACTCCATCTTTTAGATGGTAAGTTCTTCATCTTAGGTATCTGAGCTACTACTCAGCTTCATCAGGAGAAACAAAGAGCTGATGCCTGAATGGATTTTAAAAGTGCTACTATGATACTTAAGAAAACATTTCAGAGCACATATTTTGCCTACCATTACACAGACTATGTTTCCATCTCTGTTTTGCACATAAATGCAGCTGGTATCTCCCTCTTCATCCAGTCTTTTCTGCCAGTAATTACAGATGTTATCTCTTATATGGAGTATAAGGTGGAATAGGCAGAAACCTCTGATTTCCTTCCTCCCTTTATGTTGTTGAGAGTCAGCAGAACAGCACTGATTGTCAGTGAGGCCAGTTTTCTTGCTCTTCCAGTAAACACCCCCTTTATGTCGCTCGGTACACAGAAACCCTAAATCATCCTTAAGAAATGTTTGCTGAATAAGGAGATCTTGGGTTGACTTTTATGCTACATTCATTTCTTCTCAGGTGCTTAGCATTTATTGGAATTAAAGCAGAACACCACAAAATAATCATCTGGCAAGCGAACTTGCAGTGCTTTCTGAGAATAGAGTTTCCCAAAGAGGAAAGAAAAAATAAAGACCCGGACCTTTTCTGCATTCTCATAGGGAGCAATTCTTCTAACTTATTTTAAACATTTATTTTAAGACCAAATGAACCACATTCTACTGTATGCATATGTATTTACTGACAAGAGCCAAAAGTAACTACTCAGATACAGATAGCTGTGTTACCTACATATGCTTAAATAAGACCCAATCCCAGCTAACATGATTGAGTCTATTATACTGTCATTCCATTCAACTCCATATTTGATTTCTGCTTGCTCTGTGCAGACAAGGAAAGTCTCAAACCAGTATTATTTGCAAACCTGCTGCTGGCTTTAGAGAAAGGGTCACCAAAGAAGCTGAAAGTGGACTGAAATTACAGCAGGATAATGCATAAATTATCTGTGTCATGTTTTGTGATCTCGGTAAAAAGCG